ACTATATGAAAATTTGGTAAATTTTCCAGGAGTCAGTAGTAAAACAACGAAGATTGATGGAAGATAAATTGACAGTAGCAATTTGAAGCACGCTGCCGCAATTTGTGCAAAATTGATTAAAAATTAGAGGCGGTAGAAACTTCTAGACTGCACTGTAAGCCTCCTCATGAGAGGAGCATGTAGGGTAGCTGATACCAAATTGATAGGTATCTAGAATGGAACAGTAGCTAAGAAGAAGAAAAATGAGAAGAGAAGAAGAATAAGCAAAAACAGAACAGGAGAAAAAGAAGAGGAGAAGAAGAAGAGAATTTAGAGAAATAGAAGAGGGAAGTGGGACAATTTTCTGTATATTTCACTTAACCACAACAACTACAATAGAGTCTATATATAGGCTCACTACATTGAAGAATCTAGAAGTAGAAATGCTAAGTTTGCTTCTAACTAAATTTCCCGCCACTACTACAATTCAAATTTCCAACTAAAATTCAAATTGTTAACTAACTAAACTAACTAACTTTTGAATTGATCTACTTGACATCCTAGCTGGCTTCATTTGCTGCTTCATTTGCTGATTGTGTATCAATACCCTCCCCATGAAGAGCACCCTTGTCCCCAAGGGTGAAATGAGGAAATTTAGTGCGAAGAATAGAAGCTAACTCCCATGTAGCTTGGGACTCATCAAGGTCTTTCCACTTAATCAAACATTGAGCCACTGCTTTGTTACCTCTCTTGGTGAGGCGTCTACTCAGCACTGCCTCTGGTTGAGGACATAAAGGACTAGCCAAGTCCAGAACTGGAGGATGAATTATGGTGGAAGGCAGTTCATAGCAGCGTTTGAGTTGAGAAACATGAAAGGTGGGATGAAGTTGAACCTCAGGAGGGAACAACAATGTATAAGCGACAACACCCACTCGCTTAACAATAGGATAAGGGCCAAAGTACCTCGAGGTGAGTTTGTGATAAGGAGAAAGAGAGAGCGTGGATTGCCTATAGGGCTGCAACTTGACAAAAACCCAGTCACCTTCAGCAAAAACTCTGTCAGTCCTATGGAGATTGGCTTGGGTTTGCATGCGTTGCTGAGCGCGACAAAGATGAAACTTGGCAAGCTGAAGCTTGAATTCTCGAACCAAAAGTATGTCCTCAACTTGATCCATAGAGGAGTCCCCAGGGAGATAGGGAAGATGAATGGGAGGGGGGTAACCATAAAGAAGCGCAAAAGGAGAGGTCTTGATGGCTGAATTGGGGGTAGAGTTGTACCACCATTCAGCAATAGACAAGAAGGAGCCCCGGTCCTTAGGTGAGTCGGAACAAAAGCATCGAAGGTAAGTTTCCAGGCACCTATTCAAAACTTCACTCTGACCATCAGTTTGGGGATGATAAGCTGTGGAAGTATGGATAGAAACACCTTGAAGAGACATGAATTCCTTCCAAAAAGCACTAATGAAGATGGGATCTCTATCACTAGTGATGGAGGCTAGAAATCCATGAAGTCGAAAAATACAGTCTAGAAAGGTATGAGCTAAGGATTTAGCTGTATATGGATGAGCCAAAGCAATAAAATGGCCATATTTGGTGAGCCTGTCAACAACAAACCAAATGACAGTGTTGCCTAGGGATTTAGGCAACCCTTCGATAAAATCCATATTGATATCCGACCAAGGAAGAGGGGGGACAACCAATGGTTGCAATAACCCAAGGGAGGCTGAAGTGTCATATTTGTTTCTCTGACATACATCACACTTATGGATAAAATCCAAAATGTCTTGACGGATACCCTTCCAGTAAAGTAAGCCATTGCCTTCCTTGTTGTAGCATCAATACCTGAATGACCTCCTGTGGGTGAGGAATGCCATAGACTGAGAATATGCTGCCTCAAGGCAGGATCTTTTCCAATGACCAGTTTGCCTTTCCTTCTCAGCTGATTGTTAAGCCAAGTGAAGTGTTTCTGAGGAGTATATTGTAAAGAGGAAATAAGGGCAAGAAGCTCAGGATCAGTGGACCACAATGAAGAAATAGAATGCCACAATTCAGAGCTCACAGAAGAGACCATCAAAGTCATAAGTTCAGCACCAGTTANTCAGTCTCTACACAAATGGAATTGAACAATCGGGTAGTGCCAATACTGGGGCAGAAGTTAGAGCTAACTTCAATGCAGAAAAAGCTTGAGCTGCACTATCAGACCACTTGAAGTTATCCTTCTTAAGTAACTCTGTAAGAGGTCTACTGATAAGACCATAATTTTTAATGAATTTTCTGTAATAACCAGCCAAGCCTAAGAAGCCCCTCAATTGTCTAACATTACTAGGAGGAGGCCAGTTCTGAACAGCAGTGATCTTTTTGGGATCAGTAGAAGCACCTTCACTAGAAATAAAGTGGCCTAAGTACTCCACACATGGGACACCAAAGACACACTTAGAATGTTTAGCTAACAACTGATGCTGAACCATAATATCAAATACCTGCTGCAAATGCATAACATGCTCACCAAGAGATTTACTGTATATGAGGATATCATCAAAGAAAACCAGCACAAACCTTCGAATAAAAAACTGAAACAGATGGTTCATGAGACATTGAAATGTAGATGGGGCATTAGTTAGGCCAAAGGGCATAACCAAATATTCATAATGGCCTAAATGAGTCTTAAAGGCTGTTTTAGGAATGTCAGCAGGTGACATCCTTATTTGATGATAACCAGCTCGAAGATCTATCTTAGAGAAGGTTACTGCACCAGCCAATTCATCTAAGAGATCATCAATAATAGGAATATGAAATTTGTCTTTAATGGTACAGTGATTCAATTCTCTATAATCAACACACAATCTCCAAGAACCATCCTTTTTTCCAACCAAAACTACTGGAGAAGCAAAAGGGCTGTTGCTATACTGAATAATACCTTGCTGCAGCATATCCCTAATCAATTGTTCAATGATGTCCTTCTTCATAGAGGAGTACCTATAGGGCCTTTTGTTGATAGGTTTAGTACCAGGTTGCAAAGGAATGCTGTGGTCAAAAGCACCTCTAGTAGGAGGTAATGAGACAGGTTCTGCAAAGATTTGGGAATATTGTCCTAAAAGGTTCTGAATAACAGGATCAGTATGGGGTTCAATGGGGAAATGCAATGCATAGGACTGACCCTCAGATTGGTAGGAAGGAACATGTTGCTCCACATATAACATGAGCAATTGAATACACTGATCTCCCTTTTTGTTTAAGGACTTAGAACTAGAAGACTTACACTCATCAGATACTCCCTTAAGAATGTGATGCTTTCCTTGATAATCAAAGGACATAGTCAAGGCAGTGTAATCCATAGTGACTGGCCCCAAGGTCTTCATCTACAATGCTCCTAGCACTAGGTCATATCTGCCCAAAGGAAACACTATCAAATCAGAATGATAGGTGGTACCTTGAAGCATCCATTGAAAATTCCTTACAACACCTGAAGTGGCTTCCATAGAATTATTACCAAGGCTAACATAACCAACCTTGGTAGGGGTAATGACACAACCCAGTCTCTTTGCAGATTCACAATCAATAAAATTGTGAGTGCTTTCACCATCTAGTAAAATCTGCAAAGGTTGCTTATTACTATACCCAGTCACATGAATTGTTTGTGCTCCTTTGATCCCACTCAATGCACATAATGAAATCATAGGAGTATCTTCCTCATTTGCAGACCACTCCTCTCCACTGTCCTCCTCAGCTTTCACAATTTCTAATTCTGGATTTGATTCCTTACCATAATCCAAATCCAGTACAAACAGTTGTTTAGGAAGATTGCACTTATGTCCAACTGTGTATTTGTCATCACAAAAGTAGCATAGACCTTGAGCTCTCCTAGACTGCATCTCAGCAGGAGATATAGTCCTCCTGGTCTTAGAAGCAGCTACAGGTTTAGGAGCAGGCAGTCCCAATTTCTGAGGCACCATGGTGGAATGAGTAGGAGGTTTAGCTGTAGTTCCCTCAAAGGCAGGTTTCCTTATGTTAAATGATGATTGACTATTAGTGTTGGACCTCAATATTCTAGAGTTAGCTGCCAATGTTGCCTCAGCTAATCTAGCCAATCTATAAGTTTTGGATAAGGTCTGAGGCTCATGCATTTTCACAGAGTGCACCAGTTCTTCCTCCAATCCCCCCAGGAAGCAGGAAATAGCTTGGTTGACAGATAGATCACATTGAGCTAACAGTCGTGCAAAAGCAAATTGATATTCCCTAACTGATCCCATCTGCCTTAACTGTTTAAGTTCTAACATAGGATCAGAAAATTCCTCACTAAAGGTCTCAATCAAAGCAGCTAAGTATTCATCCCAGTCAAGAGCATCAATAGAATCCCTACATTTCAAGTAAGATTGATGCCATTCTAAGGCTTCATCATCGAAATTCATAGCTACTAAAACCATCCTTTGATTAAGAGGAGTTTTATCAACAGTAAAGTATTGCTCAATCCTATAGAGCCAAGTTTTCAAATTCCCACCATTGAATCGAGGAAAATTGAGGTTATGATTACGAACCGCCTGCCCAGCATAAGGATTTGGTCCTAAAATGCCTGGTCTGGATTGCAGCACCTTGTCTCTACCAGCTGAGTTAGAAGCACTGCCCTTCGACTGTTGGTGCAGATGCCATCCATCAAAGGAATTCTTCAACGAACCTACTAGCTGTAACAATTCTGCATGCCTTCGATCCAATTCCTCTCGTAATTCCTGCTGTTTTTGAATCATTTCTTCCTTGAGATCTAACTGCTGGGCAGCTAGATCTTCATACGATTCCTGCCAGTCAGTTGTTTGGTTCCCAGTCATGCCAGTCAGTTGTTTGGTTCCCAGTCATGGAATCAACAGTCTTACGTGGTCCCATTGCGACGAGCTCTGATACCAAATGATACCAAATTGATAGGTATCTAGAATGGAACAGTAACTAAGAAGAAGAAAAATGAGAAGAAAAGAAGAATAAGCAGAAACAGAACAGGAGAAGAAGAAGAGAATTCAGAGAAATAGAAGAGGGAAGTAGAACAATTTTCTGTATATTTCACTTTCACTTAACCACAACAATTACAATAAAGTCTGTATATAGGCTCACTACATTGAAGAATCTAGAAGTAGAAATGCTAAGTTCGCTTCTAACTAAATTTCCCGCCACTCGTACAATTCAAATTGTTAACTAACTAAACTAACTTAGCATCCACGTTGGCATCCGAGCTGGCTTCATTTGCTGATTGTGTATCAGTAGCTGGGAGAGAATAGTTTTACACAGTAATATGCTGTACACGATTTTCTTGGAAAAGATTGATGACCAATTTACCAATTTATCCCTACATGAACTTGTAATTATCAAAGTGCCCTTGTTCGTACATGTTCGTTCACCCCAACTGCCCTTTCTAAATAACTAGCTAGATAAGCCCGTGCTATGCACGGGCCCAACACAGTTGACATAGTTTTTAGAAGTCTTTCTTATAAAGAGTTGTACACAATCTTTATAGCAATCACCAAATAAAAGAGGAATTTCATGTACCATCACTTAAGTTGTAGTGACACAAATTAGAGATCTTCTAAAGTTAATGCAATTGTGTTCTGTACACATCTGAAACCGTCATGTCATTGCTTTGAAATCTCAAATACATGTGATGAGGACTTTTGAGGAGAAGTTGGAACTTTTCCTCCCGTGCCAGAGTAACCTGCAAGGCATTTTTAATAAATATCCAAACCTTTTCTTACATTATATATAGGAAAACAAACCAAACTATTACATTGTTTAAAGCCAAACATCATTCTGAAAGAACAAATATCACTGCCAAAGCTTTCACTCGACATTAAGATTCAGAACTGCACATGTCCAAAGACGCAACATACAGACAATTTTGCGTAAGACACTAAATAAAGCTTCTTGTATATTCCGTTTTTTCATCATCACACATACCAAAATCAGATATATGTAATACATAGCCATGGCAAAGAAAGGTGGGAAGTTCATAGATTTAGCCAAGCCTATCCTTCAATCGGAGTTATATCCCTCCCCACTAACAACGAAAGAAACAATGCTGTCTCAGCTATCGAAGTAATTCAAAAGCCTCTGTCTCTTCCATGGAGGAGGAAGATTCTTCTTTTACGCCAATTTTACCTTTTCTCCATTTTCTAACTCTACTTTTTGTGGCACTCTAGTAGCAGCAGAGTAACCTTCTTCCGAGACCAATTCAAGAACTACTTGGCTTCCAAGCTGATGAAAAGCTCAATAGTTCATGACTCATCCAAGAGACCAAGAACCCTATGGCCTCCAATACTGCAGCAACTTAATCCAAGTAAGGTTCAAGGATGTTGTCCATGGAAATACATGAGTAGTTCACAGAGCTGATAATTCCATAAAAAATACAGCAGTTTAGGGTTCTAAGAAATAAAAATTCATATGAGTCATCATCCTAGAGGTCTCTTGTGAGCTCTGCTATATCAAAAGGTAGTTCTATTTCCACTCACGCTACTACTCCCAGAAACATGCAATTCCGGAAGGTCTCTGAATGTTATAAGTGTCACATGTAGTTGGTTCTAGCAGGCAGGTAGTATTTACATTAATTTTACTATATACATACTGTTTTCAATTTTCATTTTTCCATCCTCTTCTTCTTTAATTTCCATGTGAATTTGTGGATATATTGTGGGAATTTTATCGAAGTATTGATTAGTAAACTAAAATCGAACCACAGAAATCATATTTCAAGGTCAACTATATGTGACTTCTGCGAATCTGGAGAAGTTTTTCCAAAAGTTGAGAGCTTGAAAGATCATCAAGCAGTTATGCATGCTGGTAATCCTTTTTTCTTCCTTAACATTGTTTTTTCTCACTTACTGTTCAAAATACTGTTTCACTCTGTTTATATCATGAGATTCAAGTCCATTTCTATTTAATCTTCTTTCCTTGGAAAAATCGCCCCTCGGCAGAAACAGATTATTCAATATTCCATAGAATCAAATCAAAGTACGGGAAAGTGTCTCACATGCACATGCGCAAAGCCAATAAAGAGCTATAAGACATAGATAATGGAAGATAGTCTCAGAGAAAACCAACTCTTCAAGTGTCAAAACCAGATGTTCCTATGCTACTATATGGAGAGAAAGTCTTACATATAAGTTCCAAAGCAACATGTTGAAACAAAAAAGTACACAGAGAGTTGTACATATAATTTATATTTGCTACGACATTATTGTAGGCCAGAGAGAATATCTCCAAAAATAAATCAGAGGATTTACCAATACCTCAAGAACCAAGAGCAAAAGCAAAATGTGTCCTGCCTTTAGAGAATTCTATTTCTTGTACAGAACCACCAAATTTTACCTCTTGTAATTGTATGAAGTAAGATTAATGCACTGACCTTTCAATATATTTTTTTGCTCGCTTTTCCCTGAAAGACTGAAATAGACATTGCCAGTGCTGCTGCAATTTCAGAAGGTCTGAGCTCCATGAAGCCAACATCTACCTTCAACTAATATCCAATCACCAAATCAAACATAGTAAAGATTTAAAGAGCAAATGTTATAGTAGAAATTGGTTCATCATATCCAAAGACTCAAATTCAGGCGAGACCTTTTATTATTCTTAGTAACAGTTGCATTAACCATGAAAAATAAAGACTATGGTGGCACTTAATCACCACTATTGTTCTTACTAAATAATTAAGAGGTGCAACTTGTAGAATTCTGCACTCCACTTCAAAGTGCTTAATTACACCAAAAGTTGATCCGTTTTCCAGTTTGACCTTCAAATATGATCAGAGGTGGATCTAGGATTTACGCTCTATGGCTTCAACCTTTAATGTTCTTAGCTTTGAAACTATTATATTTTTAAAGTCATGGGTTCATATCTACTATTTATTACAGTTTAGTAGATTTTTACACATAAATGGCAAGCATTACCGTTGAAAGTACTGGGTTCAGATGGTGCTAATTGAAAGAGAAATTGCTATATATCTACAATTGACTTGCAGGCAATTAAAGGGAATCTCTGCAAACCAAATAACACCTACAATCATCAGTGATGTTAAAAGGCTTATCTTGCACTTCTATTTCAGGGAATCTCAGTGGCACTGTCACCATCAGACAAACTCAAAAAATCATGAATAACATCACCAGAAGTTTTTTCATCTCCAGCTATGGAATTGCAATAACTTGGAGCCAAAAGAGTTGGCGTCTTGGTCTTCAGGGTTAGCAGAACTAAACTAATAAGAAAGAAGGAAGAGAACAAAAAAATTGATAGAGACAATCAAGAAAGATGACGTAGAAAGATGAGAGAAACAAATAAAACTTCAATAAAATGCAACGAATGTTCTTACCTTGTTAATCATGGTAACTATTATGGCCTTTAAAAGGTCGAAATACAACACATGATACTCCACACGGAAAGTAACCAAACCAGTTCTGCCATGAATAGACATTTATCAACGCGTTACACCCCAATATGGCGTTTTGAGTGTTTGGTCCAACTCTGAGATGTAAATTTGATTGAATGCTCAAAACCCCAAGTTCAAATAGTCAAATCACCAAATTCCTTTATGAAAATATAAGGTAAATGAAATTACTTAAAATTAGTGACATGAATTAACAGTTTCTTGTTAGAGATTTGGTTAAACTATGATGTACCCACCAAATCCAAATTACCAACAAAGAAACTGCAATCAAACAAAAAAAGATTACCAAAACAGAGAGGTCAAATCAGATGATAGATAGAATAAAGATAGATAAACATTGAAAGAGCGAAGACCAATATTCTAAATACTGACAAAAAAGTGCAAGAAACAAAGAGAGATTGCAGAAATGCGACTAAAGGACGAAACTTGCTCTTGAATTATCTAGGTACCAATTTCCAAACATGCATGAGTAAATCAAACCAATTTACGCATATGCAAGTGGGAAATTCAACAATAAAGTACCCCAATAGGAGAAAAAATCTAACATATACCCACCAAAGAACAGAGAACAAACGATACCCAACAAATTATGACTACAAAGAATATGAAATAAACAAAGAAAAGGCCAAACCTGATTTCCAGAGAGATCGAAGTTTTAGCTACAAAAAGCACAAATATGCAACCCCAAATGTTAATAAAAATCAAACCATCGTGCGACATTGAAACAGTAAAGTAGCAAAGGTAATTTTTATCACCTCACAAGACCATCGATAAAAACACCAGAGCAATCCGCTATTGAAGGAGAGAGAGAAGAGAATGCTGAATAACTCAGCAGAATGAGAGACACGCTTGAAGCAAAGAGCTGACCTGTGCTTTCAACCTTTGAACAGACAAAGGACATGCTTTGAGTAAAGTGGCATACACGTGTTAAATGGCCAATAAAGTAGGCCCATATATGTCAAAAGCCGAACAAGTAGGCCCCACATTGAGCAGTACAATTCAGATAACTATATGTACAGTAAATTAGAGCAGTGTTCCTACTCTTCAACTCTCACTTCTAAATATTAGTAATATATATATATATATATATATATATATATATATGGTAAAAATGTGCAAATGAGAACCCCAAAATTATCCGGCAAAAAAGAATATGATAACATCAGAAGTCATTTTTTTTATTGCAATATGATTACATGCTTGAATGAGTAATGCACGTCATTAGACTAACGAGAATAATTTAATTTAAATAAAGGTCAAAAACTGCGGTAAGATAGATAAATAAGGGAATAACTTAGAATAAAAGCAGAATTAAGGGAAACATGATTTCTTTCTTAATTCACTAGTTAAATAAAAAAAGGTACATTAAATGAAAAACATTACATAACCACTAAGTTGAATTATATTCTAATTTCATAGTTATCGGCACATGATCCGATATGACGCTTGCGATAGTGGATTGTTGGTTACACTCAAACAAATCAGTTAAGGCTGTGTTGCAAATAATCCTGTCTAACTTTGAAAGCCTATCCGGATTGTTGTTATCTTTAAATGTATACGTAAAGTCGAACTTCATGTCATGAATATAATCAATATACAGCAACTCCTTAAATGCAGGCAAATTGTCTTTGTCATCACTAGGAGACAAGAGGGTTCTCTCCGAATGGGTATCCAACGTAAGATTAAAATCCCCTATAATTATCCATGGATTTCTCTCAAGCAAAAGATGTTCAATAGGTCCTAAATGGAGGCCATATGTTGGATCTCCGTAAACTCCAATAAAGATAAAAATAATATTTGGGTTTTTAACTAACTGAAACTTTGAAATAATATACTGATTTTTGTTATAAGTATGTCCGTAAGTGCGGATATCATCGACATAGTCGGTATCCCACATTAAAGCTATACTCCCTTGTTGAAAAGAACGAATTTTATCCGACCACTCGTGTGTATCGCTAACCTCTTGTAATATTGCTATGTGCGGATGATTGATCCTCAAAATTTTTTTAATATGTTTATATTTCTTTGAACCACTTTCGCACTTGTTTACATTCCAAGAGAGTAATCTCACTTGTGAAAGTGCAGAAGAACTTGAACCTCCACTCATTTTTTTCACTTCAATAGTTACTACAGTATAGTTGGATAGGCTTGCATATTAACATGAATATTCTATATAAAGAAAATTTTACATAAAAGAGTTTTGATATTTATGTTAGAACTCTACCATTAGATCAGTTTCATAAAATCTTTTATATGATAAATATTTGACATTTATGTTTATATTTATACGTTTGATCAGTTTAGCAAAATTTTAGCCATCATTATGTTTTGGTATGAAATATTGTATGAAGTATATACTTGGTAAGATTTTTAAAACCTTTCAGTAGAACTAACAACAATTCTGTTTCACTATAGTAAGAATAATAATTAAAGTGGGCCTAAAAGTTGATGGGTACTTATGGTAATTCGAATTTAAAATCTTAAAATGTTGAATTGCCCTTTAGCTAACATCAGAAATTTTCATAAAGATTTCTATCCATTAGGCGTTAATTTTTTCATTGTTCCTCTAAAAATTAGGGGTGTTTAATTCGAATCGAAAAATAACACCGAATCGAAAGTTAAACTAAACCGATTAAATAATCTAATTAGATTTGATTTGGTTTGGTTTTGGTATTGAGTAAAAAAAACCTGAACTAGACCAAAATATAAATATATAATATTTTTTATATACTTTTAAGACTTCATATAGAATTTTCTTTAAAACATATCTAACAATATTTGGGATCCTCTCATGGGATGTAATGTTTAATAGAAATATGAAGTGTATCCATTTTTATTTACTTTAAATAATGGTTTGTATCGTCACTTTCTTATCAAGTATTATTGAAATGCGTCAATTTCTTTGTTCTTTCATAATCATATGTACAAATCTATTAAATTCTTATATCTTTTTCGAATTTGAAATGGTATTTTGATAATTTAAATTAAATGGAATATATCATTATTTAGGTATCATATTGATTTTAATGTTTAGTTATTAAATTTTGTTAACCTTGAAAGTATAAATCAAACGAAAAATTATTGTTAGACGACTAAGAATATAACTATTATATGTTACTTAAAAAATTCTCCCATAAGAATATTTTAATAGATAATATATTCGTTTTTTTTTAAATTTTTATTAAACATATATTCACTTATCAAAACTTTGTCTATAACTTTAACAAAGTGATATTGAAATAATTTTCATGTAACAAAAATCCGACAAAATTGAATCAATCCAAACCGATATACTCCCTATGTTCCAGTTTATGTGAACCTGTTTGACTAGACACAGAGTTTAAGAGAAAATGAGGACTTTTGAAATTTGTGGTCATAAGCAAGTGAGAAAAGGGTCCAGAGTATTTGTGTGGTTATAATAGATTCTCATTAAGAGTAGAATTGGAAGTTTAAGCTAAATTGTTTCCAAATTTAGAAAAGGGTCATTCTTTTTGGAACTGATCAAAAAGAAAATAGGTTCATATAAGCTGGAACGGAGAGTAATAGATTTGGTTTGGCTTCAATAAAAACTGAACCAACCCGGTCCATGTATACCCTCCCTGAAAATTTTCCATCTATGAATTTTGATATCATGATATATTTTGCATATACTTTAAATGTGTAACTCTTTCCTTGAAGATATAGTGGTTCTTCGAATCTCACGTCAAAAGGTAAATGCAAATATATTCTTGTATATTCTAACATTTCTCTAAAACATTTTAGATTCTTTTGATAGGACAACAATATAACTCGTAAATAATAATAACAATGAGTTAGAAGGTGATCCAATCACTTCTCATACGTAAAATAGAGCTATCAAAATAAGTTGTTACAAAAAATGTTATAGAATGAATAAAGTGAATATAACCTTCCCATAATAGTCTACAAACAATATTCCTACATAGAATATAGAAAGATCAATTTTCTTTTTTAATGCAAAAAACTAGTATATACAACAAAACTAGAGCACTATGAAAATAGAAGCTATTGAATTTTCCTAAAAAGTTATTTAATATTTTCTCTAGAATAGTTCACAGATTTAAATGACCTCCTAAAATTGTACAATCAATATTTTGGATTTGTAAATATATTTCTTACGTCAAACTGTGATGACCCAATAGGTCATCTTATGATTTAAATCTAATTCTGTGATCTGAAACCTTTAAAAGTCATGTTTTAGCCTTTTTCGATTTGCGTGTGCAGTCCGGGCGTCTTTCCGGAAGCTTTTATGTTAAAAATTGATAAAAATAAGAAATTTTGTCTAAAACCTTTATTTTTGTTGACTCCGGTCAATATTTTTGGTAAACGGATCCGAATGCGTATTTTAACGGTCCCGGTGGCCCGTATCGTGATTTGAGACTTGGGCCTATGCCCGGAATCAAAATTGGAAGTCCCTAGACCGAGATATCGGATTATGTCGAAATTTGAAAGTTGAAAGCTTAATGAAAGTGTTTGACCAAAGTTTGACTTTTTGGATAAGGGGTCAGTATTTTTGTTCTGCAACCCGGTATAGGTCCAATACCAAATTTATGACTTGTCTGTGAAATTTGATAAAAAACGGAGGTGATTTGACGTGATTCGAACATCCGGTTCTGAAAATAGGAATTTCAAAGTTTTCTTGAAAATTTCATGTGATTTGGGCTTCAATTCATAGTTCTAGGTGTTATTTTGGCGATTGATTGCGCGAGCAAGTTCGTATGACTTTTTTAGACTTGTGTGCATGATTGGTTTGGAGCCCCGAGGGCTCGAGTGAGTTTCATTTAGGCTACGGAGTGATTTGAACTTAGAAAATTTGCTAGTGTGTTTCAGTTCTTGTTGCAGGTCTCTGATCTCGCAATTGCGAGATCAAGCTTCGCATTTGCGACCACTGTTGGGTTCGCATTTGCAACCTACTCATCGCATTTGGGAAGAGTAGCTGTGGAGGCCAATGTTCGAAATTGCGAACAACCTCTCGCAATTGCGATGGGAACTGGGGAGGGGTACTTTTCGCATTTGCGGTCTTTGCATTTGCGATCTTGCCCATGTTCGCATTTGCGAACTATACCTCACACTTGCAAACAATGCAGAAGTGAGAAACGGTTCGCATTTGCGATGCCTCCTTCGCATTTGCGACATCTGCAGCTGGGTAAATGAGACTTAGACGTGATTTTTCTCCAAATTCATACCCAATATAACATCGAAATCCACCATATCGAGGAGTAGAAGATCTATACTGGTCTCAGGAATCCCAATAGTGACCACACACGAACGATATACACGATCTACAACAATAGCATCCCCCACAGGTATGGACACATATACAGGGGCACTCAAAGAATCAGAGGCACAACCAAATATGAAGCAAAACAAGATGACACATAGGAGTAAGTAGACCCCAGATCAAATAGAACTGAAGCATCTCTACTGCAAACTGAAACAATACCTGTAATAACATCAGTGACTCAACCTCAGGTCTTGCAGGAAAAACATAACATCGGGGCTGGGCCCCACCACTCTGAACCATATCCCTGGGACGGCCTCTAGCTGGCAGGCCTCCACGTCTAACAACCTGACCTCCACCTCTAACAGTCTGGACCCTACCTCTAACTGTCTGACCCCTGGCTCTGGCTGGCTGAGCAGGCGGTGCAGCAACTGGTTTCGGAACCATGGTATGCGAACTTTGATGCTCTGGATGAACACCCAATAATATCGGATATGTCCTCTTGATATGCCCATAAACACCACACTCGAAATATCTATCCTGATAGTGTTGCTGTGGAAATTGAGACTGACCCGAACGAGCCGGCTGACCACGGTAATAACTCTAAATAAGAGGTGTACTGATAGGAGCTGGTGGTGCACTATAGGCTGGCTACCCAG